GGCTTAGGAAACTTGCTCGTGAAAAAAAGGCGGCTTAGCCGGCAGGGCGACGACGCACGTGGTGCGGGGACGTGGACACGCGTGTCCGCCGCGCCGGGGAGGATGGGGCGAGAGATCTTCCCCAAGTAGTGGCGCCACTCTTGTCGCGCGCGATTGCGGAGTAACATTGAAATCGCGTATACCGATGGAAATAACAATCGTTAACCGGTTCGCACTGTTAGAACGTCTAAAACCAGAGGTGCTCAAAGAGATTTTTCGAGGACGATATGTGACACGTGAAACGGGGCGACGCGAGATCACAGTAGCGATCGCAAGATCGACGAGATGATTCATCCTCGCGGGGCAATTTTACCGATCGTCAAACGATGCGTGCTATTTGAAAAAAAAAACACGCCTCGCGCGCCCTTCGACGCAGCGATCGATGCACTTGACGATCCTCAGGACTCCGCGTCGCGTTTCGCCGAGGAACGGCGCGTGTAAGCGGCAATCGCTCGTCGACTTGCGTTTCAGTCGCATAATTTTCCGCGACGTGTCCCCCCCCCCCCTCTCCCCCTGCCCCCATGGAGGCTTTAAAGTCTAGGCCGGCGCGGGCGCCGGGTCTGAGTGCAGACAGCATTAAAGTGTTAATTACTAATTAAGAAGGGTGCACGCGCGCGGCGCGGCGCGGCGCGGCGCAACATCAAGACACCCTGCGCGACACCTTTTTGAACGCGCCCTCTGAATGGACGCTTACGCCCCAGCGGGCAAACGCGCGTAGTCGCTCATCCATCCGCGCCGCGCTCATCGACGCACGAGCGAGAAGACGCGACACGCATCTACCACGCGCGGCCACCCGCGCATGGACGCGCTCGCGCGCAGAATTCTAACGCGCGGACGCTTAATGCTCTCTCGTTACACGCACTTTCACGCCTCGTGACCTCCTGTCTCGCGTCGCGGCGATAAAGTAGAGCGTGAGCGCCGGTAGACGACGGTAGTTCCTCTCGAATTCTTTAACGGCCTCTTCCGCCACTCGCAGCCGCAGGCGATGCGGTTACGGCCGACGATTACTTTATCAGCTGACAACGCCGGTTACACGCGCAAAATGATCGTATGACGAATAGCGGCGCGCTTATTAAGAATATTTTATGTAACAGCTGCGAACTTTGCAACAGACGCGGTATAAATTATTACGGTGTAAATTGTGGATCGTCACGTTGAGAATCGTATGAAAAGAGGCCTCTCAGGATCGTTTCCTTTGCGGATTTTTGCCAATAGCGCGATTGGATTCGTAAGTTTCGTCTAACGTCTGTAAGGGGGAACGCCGTGGGAAAGTTTCTCCAAGAAAACCGTGATGCTTAGGGACTCAAACGTTCAGCGTCAAGTCGCGTCTTCGAGGGCTGCGGTGGCTCGCTATTGTCGGACGTCCTACCGACTTGGTATAACCGTTAAAGGGGGCTTGGCTGGCTGGTTCGGTGGCTTAAGAAGCACGTTCCTTGAATAGAGATCGGAAAGAGGGAGATTGTAAGGCGAGAAGACGCGCGCCGCAATGTATATTGCAAACCGGCAGAAGGCGCGCGACTTCTCGCCACGTCCTCGCCCGCCCCATTTCTTAAAGTCGCCATGCAAATCTTGTTCTTGCTCGGAAATAAAATATGTCTCTTTATTTCCGTCTCGTTTTTTTAACACTTAGATGAAAGATTTAAAGAGTTTTAATTTCAAATGTCTAACGTAACATTTGGGTGTCAGTCTCTCGCTCGAAAAAGCAACCATCCTTCTCGTTGCGATAAAATATGACTTAGCGCTGAACGAAATTTGCGTGTTGTATTTCTAGCAAAACTCGCTCGAGCTATGACAACTCAAGCTAGTATGTTTAATTCATAGGTTCTTTTTGTCTTCCCGAAGAGAGGTGAAATTTACAGTATCGCGTATCACGCGATATTTTCTAAAATATCCTGAGAATTATCGATTGTTTCCAATTTAATTTTTTTTCTCATCAGCACGTTAACCCGCATGCGCTCTGCTTATCGCGAATAGACCGAATGATTACGGAATGACGCGGTTGCAAAAAACAAACTTCCGAGTGGTCGAGAGTTCCCTTTTTAATTGGTGCTTTCGCACATGCGACGAGCAACGCATCATAAAAGCGGCGGTTTGAAAAAGCGACTGACAACGATGAAGATCGCGGTTGAAGGAGGCATCGCGTCGACAAACGCCGTTACCATTAACTGTTTCAATACGCGACACCTCCGTGTTCGTTTTGTCTGCCTCCTTCTGCTTCTCTCTCGCGTTTAACATAAAATTAAAACATTTAAAAGGGTGGAGCATAATTCATCCAATTAAATATCGTATCTCAGATAAAATGTCTTGACAAATTTCCGAACACAATAAAGCAGTCACAACTGTGTGAACACAGTTCCCCTTGGATTATCTCAAGAGATGAGGAAATGAAACGAAAATGAGAAAGAGAGAGAGAGAGAGAGAGATCAAATAGAAATGATTGTCTCGAAGAATCTGGCCGTCACGATCTCCACATGTTCTCCATTTGTTTTTCGTTTGACGAAGCACGTCGTAATTAAATACTAGTAATTAGCCCCCTTTCAGAGGTTCACGCCTTTTTCCCTTTCTCTCTCTCTCTCTCTTTCTCTCTTTCTTCTTATCGATATTTCCTTTCCTGCCGTCTCTTCTCTCTTTCTCTCTTTCTTTTGAGCTCGAGAATCGTCCCGTTGCAGCGGAGCGCAAAGAAACCCTGAAGAGAGCTTATTATTATCCTAATTATACAATACTATAATGAATGATCCCGCAGCTCACCCTCTAGCACACGCTCTCACTCGCTCGCTCGCCCTCCCCTATCACCCATCTCCCTATCTTTCCCTCTCGCCTACGGTTTCTCTCGCTCACCGTTGCTCTTATCCTCTGCACTTGGTGGTCGAAGAGTGGCAATTCTAGCACTCGGGCTTTTTGTCAAACAGACTACGGAACTAACGTCGTCTCCCTCGCGCCCTCGCGCACCCCATTATGCGGCCAGTCTCGCCTCTCGTCCCTCTCTCTCTTTCTCTCTTGCTTTCTCTCTCTCTCTCTCTACGTCTCCGCGGGTGTCTGTTTTAATTAGGCACTTCGTAGATACGTGCATACGTGTGTCGCATGTACATAAGCGTCGCGCGTACGCCAGGATATACGACGTTAACGTAGGTACGTAAGCGACGCAGTCTACCACTACCTTCCGCCACATTCCGCCTATACTCGGCGATCCGACGAGCTTGAATGCGGTCGATGGGTGGTTGAGTAAGGATTATAGGCGCAGGTAACACATGTATGGGGCGAAGTCGGGGGCGGCTCGCCGATGGGTGGTGTCGGTGATGGTTCGAGGAGATGAAGAGGGACGATATGGGCGAAGGGATGATGCGGAGGAACTCCTCTTCCCGATTCTTCTCGCGTGCATAACTTTCTCCGACTGACTGCTGATAAGAGCACGCGAAATTATCTTAATTGGCAGTGAAACCAATTCGGAATGTTCGAACGCAGAGAGTCCTCCTCTCGTCTGCGCTCGTCTACCGCCGTTCCTTTCTTTCAGCAGCTTTCAATAGGGTGAACGTTGCGGAAGAACGCGTTGTTTTCTTCGACAAGAGAAAAATCCCTGACCTTTCCCAATCTTCAAGCACGACGGATAAAAACAATGTCTAGCTTACTATGAAAACTAGTCGCGAGCAAGTATGAGAATTTATGGGGATTCATCTGAACGGCTTGAAATGGTTGAAAAAAATGTTCTACTAACTTAGATCGCTAAACATCCCATTATCCATTTCCCGTTTTCTCTAGTAAATGAGATTCCGATTCGCCAGGCGGAAGCAATCTTAAAAATTGCTCTCAACGGACGCTGAGCGAGCAGTTGCTTTACGTTGTCGAATGTTCCACGATGATGACTTGTACAAATTACGCTCTCTTGTAGAATCGTTCTATCCCTGCATCCCCGAGGGATCCGACCGACTACTCTGCGCTACTTTATTCTACAAAGATACTCGACTGACGCTAATACGCATCCAAATATGAGTTTTACCCAGAAGCAGAGAATCGATGAAAGTATAAAAGAAAAACATTCAGGTCGTTTCTTCTAGGCTGCGCACTTTTCTACCCGAATTTATAATGAATAAGGTATATTAAAAGACATACTACATACAAGAGTCGTGCAATTACAAACTCGAAATTTCACAAAAGCGTTTCAGAAGCTTATAAATAGAATATTCATAAAGACGCCAAATAGCTGTGAAAAGAAAAACAAAGCGAAATCTTGCCATTAATAATTTCCCTCGGTGCATTCGTATATTTCGTAGTTTTCTTCTCCTACGCGTGTAATTTGCAAGGAGGGGCTACCCTTCGCGTTCGCTTCCTCGCTCGAAAACTCGGATCGCCGTTCCTATATCAAGTTTACATCAATTAACGAGTCACGTTTGTTTTTCCGCATTAATTAATGAACGTAGGTAACTCGGGAACGACTGATTTTTCCTGCCGCGTTCGGTCCGCGGCAGGGAATTGCGTAATTTCGCGTTGATTATACGTCACTAGCTAGAATTACGAGAGCACCGCTGTCTTTAGTGTGGCCGACGCGATAGGTTTTTCATCGTCTCTTTGCGTCTGTCCGCTTAACGTCGAGGAGAGCTTCGCATAGGGCTCTCCATGTGCGTCGTCCCCTTTCTCCTTTTTTCATCTCCTTCCGCTTACGTCAGACCACTGTTAGCATCGATCTTTAATTAATTATCGATGACGCATTAGCGTTGTCACTGTCTGTCGCGGAGAAACCAGGCGAGACAAGAATCAGCCGCGATGACGTAGAAAGATTTATTATTAATTGGCGCCTCAACGTATGCACGTCGGGCCCGTTTACTTGTATTAAAGCTAATCCGCGCTAAATTCTATTACAAGTATTCGAATTGTATTTAGTATGTGTATTGTACGTATACATCGCAACTTTTGCGGACCGACGAATCGTATTGTCTAACCACGTGCGCTTCTCTATTCCGTTCCAGGGAGTTCTACTACATCCAAATGGAGAAATACGCGAGACAAGCAGTTTCGGAGGGTGTGAAGAACGTCGAGGATCTCCGAGTCGGTGGCGACTCCGAAATCTACCGGGTTCTCAACCTTCACTACAACCGTAATAACCACATTGAGGTATGGGGTCCCCAGGTGCGCAACACGAACACGCACACGCTACATTTTCTTTTGTTTTCCGGCCGATATTGTTTCGCGATTCGAGAAAAGACGAGCATGTAATAACTTCGCCACATAGAGTGACGCCAGATCGTTGATCGGTTCTACGAAATTAAGCTTTCGGTGTGTTAGTATCTATCGTACGTTTATAATTTTATATGAAACATTTCACGTGCGTCTTTGTGGTTCACTGTGACTATAATTGTGTTTGCACGTTTTATCATAAAAAGTATATGCGTAAGATATTTATTGCCTGATTGAGTACCGAAAGTTCTACTTGACATTGTTAATTGAAGGTGCACATTACAGAATTTATTCCGCTCCTTTCACAAAACATATAGATCAATCTCAACGTTGGAAAAAATAAATTTAGATTACAGTTTCTTGAATTGTACACGACATTTCTGTTGCAGCTTCAATTAATAATGAATTAATAGTGCAATTAATAGTGAATTTAGTTTAGAATTTTATTAAGAAATTTAATAAATTATTTAATACTATGTTATATACGTATTATACGAAGATAAATAATTTAGAGTAAATAGAGTCAAACAAAAGTAAAAGTACTTGCTGAACATTTGCAGAGAATTCGCAAAGACTATAATTTTCTCTCACAAAGTTGTATTATTCGAAACGTCGCATGTCGTGGTACTCGCGATGGCGTTTCTTGTTGTAAAAATGTTAACCGTAGAACCGTCGTTATCGCGATTCAATTGCAGCTGCTAATGAAACCGCGGAACTTTCAGGTACCCAGCAACTTCAGGTACGTTGTGGAGCAGACGCTGAAAGAGTTTTTCAAAGCGATCCAAGGCGGCAAGGACTCCGAGCAAAGCTGGAAGAAGTCCATCTACAAGGTGATCTCGAGGTTGGACGACCCGGTGCCGGAGTACTTCAAGAGCCCGAACTTCCTGGAGCAGCTCGAATGAATCAGGAGGTCGCGTGGCTCTTGCTCTTCGTGGTGCGCGGGCTCGCCCGCGCTCGTCGGCTCCCGATAAATCAGGAACGACCAACGAGGGAGGATCGCATCCGCCAGGAGGTACACGTCCTTCGCGTAGTGCGTGTTCAGGTATCCTTAAATAACATATCGCAAAACGAACGAGGGCTAGGAAGGGAGAGGAGACACGGACAAACCCAAGGAACAGAGGCACCACCGGCGTCCGAGGGCGACGTCAAGATGCCAACGAAGGATCAGGCTGTGACTGAATCACGATTCAAACAGGAAAAACAGAAGAAACGTACCCATACACATGTGCACACCAACACACACATACAGACATACGTCCATTAAAAGAAAGAAATACTGCGAATCCACGGCTGACGAAATTCGACAGTCACAAAGTGTCGAACGCTCATCGACGTTCCTCTTGTTTCAACTGAACGAGCACGAGAAGGTGATTCCTGGAACGAGACGAAGAAGCACGACGAATGCGTGGTCAACGAACGGCGAGAATAGCTTTTAGCGTCGATTTTGTCCGATCTGTTTGTAACGTAGAGTAATTACTTCGTTACCGCCTAATTTTACATCACACGATAAGAATAGGGATTTAAAGACGATAACACTGCTGGGGTTGTACTCACAGAGAAAGATGGAGACTTTCGGAACGTTTGCGAGCATATCCAAAGATTGATTAAGTCTGAACATCGCACGGCGATTCCTCTTCTGATTCGCACGAGACCCGGAAGTGGAATCTTCGTCGACAGGAAACGATGTAGGACGAGCGGCTTTTCGTCCTACACCGTCTCCAGAAAGAAACATTTGTGGACGAGGAGAAAACCTTGCGCTAAGTCTATTTCGGATAATCCTGTCAATAATATGATAATCCTTCGAACTCTGCAAGTAGCTTCGGTGATGAACGCTTGCGAAGATCGAGGGCTCCCCGATAAACAAATCTGACAAACTTCTTATCGCCGAATGAATACCGCCAATGGAAATTCATGCTGCGATAAAAAGACGCTTTTGCTGCAATCTGTAGCATGCTTTTTTTCTTTCTTCCAGGAAAAGTAAAATCTCCGACGTATTAGTTGAAAGTACGAGGTTCGCCTCGATGCTTCCCGTCATCAAACTAGAATTTCAATCTTTCCCCAGATTGTACATAGTTTCATTTTACCGCATACAACTGATCAACTAGGTTTGAGATCGACGTGAAAATGCTTGGCTATTAAATTATATACACTGCGCATGAGAATCGGATGAGAAACAGCGCGAGGAAACGTTCGTGCGCGCATCGATACCAAAGAGAATCGACTTCACCGAGTGCGTAACGTCGCATGAGTAATCGACGCGACCGCTCATAGCGATTTCCGCACGCAAAGAACCTGTTCCTATCTGCCGAAGAAGAGATTCCTTCGACTTTTTCGTTCTCCCGTAATTTTTTCTTTTCCTTTCGCTCGCTGAGCATTATTGGTCGGGCCGATAAAGAGTACGTTTATCAAGAGTGCATACGTTGCATTGAGAGGATCGGTGCACGGGTCAATATACATAGCTGTTTTTATTAATGGTTGATTGTATAAACGAGATTAGGCTAGTCGTAGTAACGAGATTAGGAGTAGTACGGGCGACGAAGATGCAGGTCGGATGCAGCGTCTGTGTGAGAATCGTGCGCCGGCCGTATTCTAAGTGTAGCGTTGCAAACCAAAAAAAGAAAAGAAAAGAAAAGAAAGAGAAAAGAGCAAAATGCTATATATAATCGTGCGTCGACGCGATAATTATATAAATATTAGACTTCTAAAGCGAAAAAAAGAGACGGATGCTGGCGTGATTAAAGTAGCGTAAAAAAAACAGACGTGCGCCAGACGGTCGCACAATCGCGCTTCCTTTTCTCCGTTTACATTAACCCCTGACCCATCCTACGTACACGGACACGCGACACGCACATAGCAGTCACTTACACGTATTAACCAGCACCACGCGATCACGCGCGCGAACGTACGGGAAATTAGAGACGGCGCCCCTATAATCTCACATGTGACCTTTCTTTTCGCTAGAAGTTTCTGTAGATAATTTACGAGACGGTATAAAAATAATAAAAATATTAGGGATAATTCGAGTGGTAGCGGATGCACATAATTTTACTCTTATTTTTTCACCATTACTCTCGCTACTACGTGCACTATTATTATTACTATTATTATTATTATTATTATATTGCTATTATTGTATTATTATTATATTATTAATATATTATTATATTATTATTATTATTAGACTCACTATTATCTATATCAATATGACAATTTTAGTATGAAACGATTATAATTACTAATATTATTATTGTCATCGTTGAAATTGTCATTTACGGAGAGAATTTAGTTAATTTAAAATTAACCCTGTATGCCTTTCTCCACAAGCAATTTCACGCTACCCATGTTTATCCTTATCTTGTTTTCGCAAGATCCTCTTCTACGACTACCTTGCCGTTCCCAATTTTGTCAAGCTTATTTATTCCGTGCTTGGCACCACGCTCTATTTTTAGTTATTATGTATATTTAGTTATTATGATAATCACTACATTGAAATTATGCCCCCCGTAGTTTGTATCCATACACGACAAAAAAACACACGTACACACGTCCTTTTGCAAGCGGTGAGTCTTAACCTAGTCACGAGTCACTATTTTTTAATTGATTAATGGTCGATTTATTGATTATTATTTTATTTATTAATTATGACAATAAAAAAAGAGAAAATAAATTGAATTTTCATTTGCGTCTAATCTTGCGTAAATGTTATGTCACTTTTATTTCCGCATTGGTTGGTCTACAATATCCTTCCCTACACTCCGAGAGAATTCGAAAAATCATATATGGCCAAAAAAAACAGAAAGTGATTTTGATTTGACATATTCGAAACACTCTCGACCGCTAGACCTATCTTTTGTCTTTTTTCTTCTTTTTTTTCGTAGGAAGATGTGAAACTCGAATGTACAATCCATGAATTTGCGACCGGCGAATTCAACGAGGATGGAAGCGAGTAGCCTCTTTCATCCGAAGAACACGCGTTGTAGAATGATAGAAGCGAGAACGAAATTTCGAAAATTTCAACTTTTCTTACGTAATACTAGACTTTGGCCTAAAATTAGTAGCAACTTCTTCGGCACTGGCCTAAGATTTTGGTCTAAATGTTTATAACGGGAGACAAGAATACGATAGCGTAGAGGCAATGTGGAAGATGTTTGAATATTGTAAAACAGGATTGTAGGATACGTGCGTTATTAGACCTCGCTGACTCGTTCGTCGCAACTGAAGTGGCTTGACATTCGTGTCACGGCAATTGGCACAGGTAAAAAGTTATTCCTTGGAAATTTATTATTATATTTTAGTAGAATTTCTTTCACAATTCGTGTCTTAAAGAAATCGCGCATTCTCGGAGAGCAAACATACAATATACTCAATAACCACTGATGAAACATATTTTACTTATTTTTTTCATTTGATTTTATAATCAACTTGATTGTCGTTGCATTATTGAGATTATTTCAGTCAGAGATACATCCTATCCCTTTTATCACCACGTTTAATGATACATTAAAAAGCCATTAAGAGGCTATGATTTAACGATATTCGAAGAATTATAAAAAGCAACATTCGGAATTTAATTATAATAGATAATAATATTGGTTTTTCACTGACGGAAAACAAATCAAGATATAATACATTCCAGTATAAACCAAATATTAAAAGTGTGAAGACAACCCTTACCGGACAAATCTAATTTAACACTTTACGAAACTCTAATGTACTTCTTGCATCATATAAGCTCCCCGATCCTAGAAGCTTCGCGCTTTCACGTCGATACACGTCAATAGTCTCTCACCATCGTTAATAGCAATACGTGATTTTTTACGACAAATCTCTGAATTAAATATAGTCTTGCGACACAGAACATACGCTACTTCAATATTAACGCCATCGATAAAACATAATTAACTATCGTTCTCATTCTCTTTTCTTCGATTGCCTTGGATTTACGAAAAACTAAGTTTCGTAATTCCAACGGCGATCGCACACTTGTGAAACATGTCTACGACCGTTTCGTCATACTGAAAATGATCATTCCGCTCTTTTAAACATTATTCGCACTCAGAAAAGAAAATAACTATCGCTGCAACGTTAAATCGACGTTCTCTAAATCGCAACCGTGCTACAAAGGAATTTAATACTACGACAAGATTCTTCCTTGCTTCGGGCAATTTTCAGAAAAATTGAAAGTCACACATGTACGTATCGTAACATATGGGTGAAATAAATAATTTCGATTCCGCACATTCTTCGCCACTGGAGTATGACCACAAGCTTTGGAAAGCGGTGAACGAAAAGCAGCGTAATAATTGTTCAAGGCCAAGCCGATTTTAAATCCCCAGTCGCCTTTACCAGCGTATAAGCTGAAACGTCAGAGGAATTTTTCGTATGGTCGGTTATTCGCAAAAATCTGGGAATAAGAAACTATCGTGACACATAGACAAAACTCTCGCGTGATCCTTCGAGGTCATCTACGAATTGAAAATGTAAGAATAAGAGTCCGCTTCTTTCATTTCTCCGTCGACCGAGATTCGAAGCTCTCCTAGCGCGAAGGACAAATCGTTCTAGATCTTAGCAGACGTACTCGAGCCATGAGGAAAGAGGCTCGAGACTCAGGAGAAAAGTGAACAATGGTAACGAATAGCAACCGGTGGTTCACCGCGATCGCCGAAATTTTCTCTCATCGATGGGAGAACCAGCCGCGCTCCTTATCTCCCGATCGATGCTGCTGGTCCCGATCTATCGACGCGACCTACGGTCGCGGGACGGAACTGGCGATGAACGGCACGAGCGCCGAAAGAAAGGGGTGAATTCGCAACGATTTTACGGATGCGCGTAAACAATGGGAGTGGAACGAACGTAAAAAAAAAGGACAGGCGGCGAGATTGACGAGATGCACGAGAAGGATGTAGTGACGAAGAGACACACATTCTCGAAGGACGAAGGCGAAAGATTAAGAGTCGTTCATCTACGAAACGAAGTAAATATAGGAAGTCTATCGACTCGCCGTTTATATTACATTTATGCAGCGGGGCCGACGCACGGAGAAACGAGTACACGGGACAGAACGAAATTAAACGAGAACGAAATACGAGAGAATGGAAGAAATAATAAGCATACGTACATACCTAAACGCGTAAGTTTTAAGAACACGTAAGCAGAAGTAAGTAATAGTATTTAACGTTAACACTTGCAATTAATTATTATATAAACGATTAACTAAAGATAAAGACGAGCGGAAGGTCGTATCACGCTGCAGAGGAAAAGGATACCTACTTTAAAAAAAACACACACTAATAAACTAATTATTATTATATGATTATATTATTATTATTACGATCATTACTATCGAGTTTGAGATTAAGCCGTGATAACAAGAGAAATCAGTGAGAATGGGAGAGAGCGAAAGCGGTATCAGAGAGAAAGCGAAGGAGGCAGAGTGTGGGAATTCAAAGTGAATTCATTGAGAAAATAATAATTCCTCAAACTATTAGGAACATAATTAGGGTATATTTATTATGGCGAGTGCGCGATTATGATAGCGGCGCGGTAGTATACAGAGAAAACGGGGGAAGATAAAGGGGGGACAGGAAATACATTATCTCCCCCGTGACGTTTCAGCGAGGCGGAAATCGCGTCTTTCGAATTTTCGCGCGCGCGATAGGAACGAAGTGGAGGAGCGAACCCGGGAGAACGACCGAATGTGAGAATGATAGAGAGAGAGAGAAAGGGAACGAGAGAGTGAGAATCTGTAAACGATGGGAGAAAGAGGGAGAGCATGGGAATTTAGAGCGTAAACTATGTTTCTATGTGAGATCGCGTGCGTAAGCCAAAAGAAGAGAAAAAAGAAAAAAGAAACTGATTGTTGACACCGAGTGAGCAAACTTTGTGTGATAATCTCGTAGTACACGTAGCATGTTAAGTCTACAATACGTTTGGTAGGGGATTAAAAGGTGAGAGCGACTTTCGAAAAGTCGGGCAGGAGAACGGGGGAGTAAAATCCGACCGAGAGAGGAATCCGAGAGGTCTTCCGAGTCTCTACCTCCCAACGTTTCTAAAATCAGTCGGAGGGCTCCGCCGCGCCTCCGACGATCGACATATCACCGCGCGTATATGAATCGTTAAATTCGTAATTCTAAGTTACAGGGTGCTCGAGACGCCGTCGACTACTCCGGCGTCTCGATTTAACGTAGGTACATTACGTTTCCTCGGTGAGCTGCGAAAGCTTTACGTTGTCTCTTAATCGTTCATTTCCTATCCCCGACATTACGGTGCAAGACGAGAAATCGTGAACAGCCGCCATTTTTTATTTGCAGGACTACAGCGAAGACAGTCGATACTCCTGTCTCTCGCGAGTATTCTTAACTTTTTACGACCTCGTTATTCGGAAGAAGCAAATTTTTCAATTCTCGCGTCAATAAATTATTAACTTTCAATATTACTTAATTTTTATGTTAATTAATAAATATTTGTATTACATATTACGCTACTATTCTAAATGTTTGATCAACACTCAATTAAGATTCTTTTATTCTTTATGTAATCTTTCAACGTTCACGTTTGTTATAATTAACTTGCAACTTGTATGTAACAATTTGGTTTGTTAATATTATTGAAGCATGGGCCGTGAAAAGTTAATATGATAACACTGAACAGATTTTTAAATTTATAAAACAGATGTCGAGAGGCTGTGCATACTCCAGCTCTCGCCTTAGCAGTAATTAAGATAACACAACGAACACATTTACGTTTCTCGTCTTGAATCGAACGTCGGTCTCGTGAAAAGTTTACGTCGCAATAATCTCGCTCAAGATTCAAGAGCGTGAAAGAGAGCACCTCTCGGAAAATCCGTAACAGTCGGGCGTTTAGGGGTGGGTGGGCGACGAGGGATGGAAGGGATGGCGGTTCATGGGAGAGAGATGGAAACCGACGAAATTGTGGATGGTGTAGAAGCGTGTAGGGAGCCAAGTGTCCTTGATGCGACCGTCGTTGAAGCCACGAAATCTCGCGATCTCAACAGGTGATCTTTTTTGTTCGGACGAGTTGAACCATGCAGGGGGAGATAAAAGCGGATCGAAGATAATAAGAGAGACGCATATGAATAACATGCACGAGGAAAAAAGTCACGACTGAGAAGAAATCTATGCGAATTGCGATTTCGGACTGAGTTCGGAGCCACGGGCAAAAGACGTTCGGCGCAAACCGATCCTAGCTGAGAGAGAGAGATGACGAGCGAAAGGGTATGAAAGGGCGAGTGAATGCGAAACGGAGCGATAGAGGGCAACGAGCGAAAGGGACGGAATGAAACGAGTCGAGAGACGAGGAGTGAATGTGCTAAAAAAATTGCTAAAAAAAAGTGAAGAAATTATACAGAGAGAGCCGACCTCCTTGCCTACCGGGAGGTCCGCATATATGTATTGTAAAGTCAAGACTAGTAAATGATAAAATTAGGAAAAGCGAGTTTAAGAGGAGAAATTATTAGGCCAGTTTGTAAATGTAAGTTATTACGGAATTTTCTCCCCTCCCCACCCTTTCGTGCACGATACTTTTGGCAAATCTTTCGCGAGCGTGAATGCGGGAAAGTAGGCGCGAATGTGAGAGAAGACGGGAGACAGGAAATATTTATACATGTGTGTGAGAATCTGAGGTTACGTGTGACACGTGTGACGAGAGGACGGAGAGATCGAGGCGGGAACAGAGAAGAAGCCATTGGACGAATGGTCCAGCACGGTCCGACGTTCGACTCACGAGATACAGAAGAGTAAAGGAATCGAGAAGCAGGCAAAACGCGCACAACCATCGAGAATGGCAGATTATCACAAATGTCATTATCCATCCAACCCTTCGGCCACCGAGAGTATGAGGAACAAAGAGTGTAGGACAATGAATCTTGACCAAATCCTGCTTGACAGAAAATTGGGTTATTCTGGTCTGCCTTCGCTTCCACACGCTATATTCTTTTCATATATATACACACACATATATATATACGGCTTCGTATTACCATATATTACCCAATCGCTCGCAACATGCTCGCAATATCCCCATGCTCATTTCGTATCTATCATCTAACAGTTTTCCGCTAAAGCGTGAAGCTCCTTCGAAACGAGCATCAACGTTCCGTATTTAATGGGAATATTTCTTCTTGCCGTCTGCAATTCTTATTGCGACCCTGCGTCGCGCGTGAATCAAGAGAGTGAAAGATAGCGAGAGCGAGAGAGTGGCAAAAAGAACGAGAATGTGAATTGTATGCACGCGTGTACCAAGAGAAGCACACACGAAATGAGAATGAGAACATGTAATGCCTGTATTCCTGGAGTATATTACTTGCGCATACGTCTCAACCAGCAGTCGTGTTAGATTATACGTATTATCGTGTAGGGAATCGTAGGTGTATTAAGACAAAAAAGAATAACTTATTTAATAATGAAGAAGCAAAGAGAAAGAAAGAGAGAGAGAGAGAGAGCGAGAGAAAGTGAGAGAGAGAGATGAGGACTTGCAGCCAGCAACAAACAACAGTAAACCTACGTTGATGTGTGAGGATGTGAGCTAGATCGCCGCGTTGAGTCTAATGAACTCCTCGGAGATGTACAACGCAGACCCTCCAGAATGAGGTGAAAAGGCGCACGACTGTCAGCCTTGTCGGCCATCTTCGTCACTTCGTCTAGATCGGGACGATGAAACGTCGAACGTTCGCGTCAATTAATTCTGTAGATAGCAGCAACGAAAACTCTTCCTCTACATTAAAGTAGCACGGGCGAAAGGTTCGAAGGATGATTAATAATGTCTCCTACGAGCGACTTAGCCGACGTAACGGGGCACAAAGTGGAATGACGAAGTTGGCGACTTGCTCGGTCGGCCGGAATGTCTTGTAAGATATTGTGGGAATTGTTTTTCTGCGCCCCGCGAGTCCGTTTTTTCGGTCCGAGACGGGGCACCATTCACACAAGCCAGTACATTTTAGGCCGGAAGTTCTGTCTCTACCCGCTGACCCTTGCACCGAGTGTGTTCCGATTGTACCTCAAGCTCTTTCACAGTCTACGGAGAGGCCAGAAATCGCGCGGCCGACAGTAGCAGTTTTACATTACAACCAGTATTCATTTACGCAAAAGTCACGTGATAGAAGAAGCTTAAATTTACTGCTTAGTACTATCTAGATAACGAAACTTCTCTTGGGACTGCTAACGCACCAAGAAGTACCTAAATAAATGTTTAAAAAGAAGGGCATATTTGAGAAAAAAAAGAAAAAGAGTACATGAGCAGGACTGTTGAACGCACAAATTATTGCAAAGGGCAATCATATTTTCTCGATAAATTTTTGCATTGGCTACTTCGTTCGCGTGACTCTTAAAACCGGGTTCAGTTGCAATAGCCAGCTCGCAGTAAACTCGCGATCCCGCCAGGTCTTCACCGGCGGTACCGATCGTATCTTCCCACATCTGGATCCACTCAGGAGAGACAGAGCTTTGGGCGAAAGAAAACCTGACTACTTTCATACATGCATTACGATGTTTGATGACTATACCACTTTCGACGCGAGAATTTCCTTTCGTACCTTTTACCGGCGTTTTTCTGGGTTCATTTTTGGCGAGAAACAATTCTGTTCGTTGATTGCTAATCTTCGGTTGCGCACAAGACGACACACAGAGAGTAGAGCAAGAAGGTGTACGTGCGTGTACGCGTGTACCGCGTTGCGACCGCAAAGTCTTTCGGACGTCAAGTTTTTCGGGAAACCCACCGGTGCGCGCGTACTACGCCTACCTACGCCTTATTGCGGCGAAGAGTGAAAAATTCCGTTTTTTGGCAGACACCAAAAAAAAAGCAGCTCCTAAAATGCAAGCGACGCGCGAGAGGACGCGCGGCGTTGTGACGCGCGTATTCTCGCGCGCGCGCTCAAAATCACACAACAGATAGTGCTCAGCAAGGCGATGGACATCGATCGCGATGCAGCACACCCACACATACGCGTACATCCACACACACACGTACACGAACGCACGTACACGAACACGGCACACAAGGGACGTACACCTACATGAACATGCACACAGGCACACGCAGTTTCGGCCAGAATCTAAAAGACACATCAAGGAAAAAAGTACAAGTTTATCACGTTGCGCCTTAACGTTAAAATTAAAAGTTGATCAAAAGAGATGAAAAAAGTGAAGCGTATTCTTAACCAAAATCGGCCTTAGTATATACTTTTCCAGGGCACGTGGAAAGCACAGGACGGGCGACCTTCCTCTCGACCTACTTCCACAATCCTCACTCTTTAGATTAATATAAAAAAAATGATATAAATATATAATATATATAATATATATACACGATATATTATATTCCGCCGGCGGTGGGAAGTTTCGAAACCTCGCAGCTAACTCAGCAAATCACCGAACCATCGAAAGAAAAAAAAAAATTAATAGATCTCTCTGTTCCCGCCGCGTCAGGTCGGATTCGAAATTTTTGCGGTTCGTGTCCACGACGACGAAAGAAAAAGCGTGCGTCGTGGACGCGTAACCCGTTCTCCAAGTCCCTACCTCCCAAACCCGGGAAGTCGCCCGTCCCCGTTTGCACGTCCCGCTGTACCCCACGCTCCCCGCAAGGTGTTCCCCTCCAAAAGAAAAAAAAAAGTAAGAAAAGAGAGAAGAGCTAAAAACGAAGCGAAACACACCTATCCGGCGAGAAGGCGAGCCCTTCTCGCGCATAGAAGAAAAACACTTCCTGCATGTAATTAAAGCGACGACGCGAGTGGACGGGTCACCCGGGATTAGTGTAAGGACGCTCGTTGCTAAGTAAAGCAAAGACGATGACGTGGAATGGAGGAGAGGAAGAAGCGGAGAACAACCCTTGATGCGGAAGATGGACGACTGTCGACTCGCCGTTTCCCCGCGACGACGGGGCGACGGCAGAAAATTCGCAGAGAAATCCGAGAGATTCGAAGAGCGATGCACGAATAACCAGGCATACGCGCGCTGAGGAGGGATCGGTCGCGTATCATTATCTCGTCGCGTATAGATCCGCGGTATTCCTTGCAATCCATAATCTCTTTTCACGAGCGTATCTTCGTGAGACTCGACTGTGACGACTGAGGGAGCGAGCTAAGAGTGGAACGCGATCGTAATTGATCTACATTGTACACCGTATACCAGAGACAAGTCTAGCGCAAACGACGCATTCGACGAGGCTGTGCATTACGACGCGCGCAAACGAAACTACTATCACAGTGTTGTATCAACATTTCACATGGAAAATATATAAACCGCTTTGAAAACACTTTCAACGAATAAAACCGCATTAAAAGCAAAGTTTTTTAAACGATGTATTCATCGGTCGAATAACGAGAAAGAATTAAGCGAAGCGTGAGTACTTGAAATTGATATTCATTCCAAATTCTTCACAGGAACGTGCGCATTATTCGTTTACACTTCTCTCCACGCGGTCACTTTAGTTGCACAACTGAGAACCAAGTGGATTACTATAGAGTTGAACGTAACCAAACGACGATGATAAAGCACGGCTAATGCTGTGAGAGCAAAGGCCGTCGTCTTGTTTCTGACGACAGCCCTCGATGAATTATCCAATTACCACGATAAGTACGACGACGTCATAAATCCTGATACCTTCCAGCACTGAGGAACGCAAGGCGGTCCGAAAGATAGTACCGTTCAGAGATCCGAGACACAGAGTAATCGACAGATCAGCATTGGGCACGCGAGGTAACAATGGCCGATTAACACACGCACGCAGCATCGCAACGAATACGTCGAAGGGCGCTCTCGGAAAATACGATGTGCCTCGACTCGCCCGTAACGCCTCGCAAATTCGCAGCTTTCCTCGCGCCAAGTACACGATAGCGATTGTCCGTTAGATCGTATTCGGGGCAGGTGATAATTACGGGAGCCGCTACTGCACATCCAGCTAATCGTGGATACCGTCGGCACGGAGATTACTCCTAAGGAACGATAACAATGACGTTAACGACGGCAATAGCAATCGGATGCAAATCACCGCGCCTCGCCGATCGATGGACACGGCTTACCGTATCGATACTTCACCGACGATCCTACTTTCACGCATTTATTTTACACGTTACCACGGTACTCCGTAAACAGACAAATACGTCGAGCCACTCGACACCGGTTTTCCGTTGCACGTTACTCACGTATCGATATCCCTTCGTTAGAACGTCAGTCTCGGTTTTTCCCCGCAAGAAGCGCACAGACTCTACGACGATATAGGACAGAATTAACGCAGCGATTACGCGCGTCCCGCACGATATGCGATGCGTCGTGCAAAGGAAAAAAAAAGGACTACTTTTGCAGCGTACACGCACCTTCTTTCAACGACACAAGCGAATCGATTCCTCGTTGCAGAATGCCATAGTAATGTCGATTGCAGAATAGCAACAGAACTCAATACGATACCATAGTAACGACTTAAGTTTCCAATACGTTAAAATACGCTGTACACGCAGTACATATCCTACGATGGACGGCGATTTAATAGTGCGGCGGCATTACGATTCCAAGTGATGCGCATCGTACTTCCGAGGACGAGATACTGGGAAGGACCGGAAGAAAGAGCAGACGGGACGAGATCGCGCAAGCACGAAGAACGAGACAAGGTGCCACGCCGGGACGAGAGAAATGATCGCTGGTCCCGTTTAAATGAGCGGAGCGTACCGACGCGACCGAACGCGTAGTACGGAAGAAGGGAAAGATGGAAAAAAAAGGGGGGAAAGAAAAGTGGAAAAAAAAAGAAATAGAAATAAAATTCCACACACGAAACGTGTGAGCCGACGTAGGCGAAATTAAAAACGCCCAAGATATTGACTTGCGAAACGAATCAGACCTTGCCACTTGCAATTCGTTGAAGACGTGACGCGTTCTAAGCAATTCGCATAACGTAGGAAAGTGAAAAAGAGCGGGTACGTAAGAAGGAGAGAAAGGACGGGAGCGAAAGAGGAGTGCATAAAGGGAAAGAGAGAGAATGAGTGACACATGATAAAGGAAAAGGAATCACTGGAGATCCGCTATTCGACTTTCTGATTTTTCGCAGATTTTCGCGCGGGACAACAGGTACGTCCCTTCCGAGACATCAACCTGCCCCCGTGACAACCCGCAGGAGCCAGCTCATCCTCCCAACGCCCCTCCCGTGATCCTTCCCCACGTGAACAAGGTTTGCTTCCAATCCGTACGCGTTATCGAAACCTAATAAACTATAAACTACCTAACAATAATAATTAAACGATAAAGGGGTTAAGAGTATCGATTAATTGAATTATACCTAACGATTAATTAAATAATTAATGAGTAATGATACATAACGATAATACGATTAATGATATATAGTATAAACGGTACGAGGCAACCCGGTACATGGTGGCTAAAAAACCATCCACCGAGACGGGACCGATTCTGCCTCGTCGAGCGTGAGGGGTGTATCGACCGTGCGTGGGACGCTTTTACGGCGGCTGTATCCGACTACCTTGGTCCGAACGTGCGGATTCGCAGCGGGAGGCCGATCGGTACACTCCGTGAAGTCGGGCCGGCAGGATCCACCGCCGTCGGAGTGATCGTTTCTTACCCATCATTTATACGCTAGCTTGTAACTTGAGACTTAAGTATAATGAGATACACACGAGGAAGAACACACACACAGCATTAATGATACCTAATGATATGATTATATTATTGATATAACTTAACGATTATGGAACTATCCTAGTGGTATTATACGACGACATAGTTGATTGATCTGTTTAATATTGAATGTCTGTAGATCACGGAGCGTTTGGAACTCTATGCTATCCATCGAGAGTCCTGCAAGTCCACCATATTCCTCGATACCCTTTTCTCCTGCCCCCTATATACCCCTATAATCTACCCCCCCCCCCCTATAATCTACCCTACTCACAAACCCACCCAAGACATCACGAAACTCTTAACATAAGTGGACCGGAAATATTATCCCATATTTAAAGTAAAAACAAGATTGGGTGCTACTAAAAAGAACCATATTAAACCATGTTAAATTCGATAAAGTTAGATATTGAGCAAAAATATAAAAAAAAAACGATGTATAGAGTGGATGAAACCCTCCATTTAAAATAAGAAAACTGGAGCCAGCGCGGAGGTGCATTTACGATTCGATCATCGCGAAACGAAGATAATGCTAATCTATCACACGACATATAATACGTTTCTGTAAATTACGAAGCGCCATTTTTCTATGAAAGGTGTAAGGGACGCAATATTATTAAAACTGGTTTTCAGTTTTGCTATTCTCCAAGCCAATGCAGAGCAACACAGGATGCAATATTGCCGGCTACACTGGTTTTCAGTTCTAAATTCGATAAAACGCAGCCACCGTACGACAGTGACGAAGAAGCTACTCACAGCTTCTCTCCGCCGTCTCTTATGCTGACACCGTAGACATGGAAACGCTTCGATGAGGAAAAGAGAAAAATCATTCAAAATTCGCACGTCATATATGCTAACTGACACCGGACAAATTCTCGACAACAGTTAATCATCTCCTGAGCTAATGTGTCGCATATCTACGACGCAAACACAATAGAACATACTCTACATTACAAGCGTTTAAAGCCGCAGTAGCATATGATAATCACGCGAAATATAACAGATCCGAGAAAGGAAGAATTACCACTTAATCTGCACATGAAATTTCCGCTGAAATGCGAAAGACAAATGTCCTCCGCGCGTAAAGTATCCTTTGGAAGAAAGCGAAGGCCCGAAACGCAGAAGAGAGCGAAGCCTAGAAGGGACAATTCTGTGAGAAACACTACCGAGCCCTCTGCCTCTGTTTTTAAGCACGCGTACCATGTGACGTCCATCGACGAGAACTTGTACATTGACGATACACGCATTGGGACACTGTGAAAATAGTAAAAATTGCTGCGAATAAAACGCCAGTGAGCGCGGACGCGACGAACCATTCTTCTCGATCGACGTCTCTAACCGTAGGTTCGCCTGATTGTTGAGTTTAAGTTTTATAGTGAGTACGTAGACACAGGGCGACTGGAAGACTCGGTCCAGGTGGTGCTCGTGCTGGCGGATGATTTGTTTCCCTTGAATCACCGCGGCACGCACGACACCGCTCCCGGGATCTTCCCAGTCGCCGAGATTTTTTATACATTCCGCAATAGTTTAAGTACCGCTTCGAATTATCGAATTGAAATGTGTTTTTTCGTATTAACGATGTTTTATTGCTAGTAAGTCTTTCTGAACACGTTAAGTGTTTGCCACACGACTGCGCGCTTCCACTTCCGAGCGTGGATTCAGTTCTTCGTCGTGACGCCTCCGTTTTGTACAAATAATAAAGTAGCTAGTCACGTTCCGTTGTTTCTCTCGCTTGGTTACTTAAATCGTTAACGTGTTAAAC